CACTATAAAAAAAAAACATAATTACGGAACCCTGAGGCTTAAACCCCAAACCCTAAACCCCCAAACCCCCAAACCCCTAAACCCCTAAACCCTAAACCCCTAAACCCTAAACCCCTTAACCCGAAACCCGAAACCCCGAAACCCGAAACCCCTAAACCCTAAACCCTAAACCCCTAAACCCTAAAAACCCAGATCCCACATCCTGAAATCGTCAAAGCCCCCAAGCCTTAAGCCTGAACTCCCAAGCCCCAAACCTGACGCCCCAAATCCTAAACCCAAGCCACCAAATTCCAAACCCTTCAATTAATAAAGCCTATAAAGCCTAGCACCGAAACCCCAAAACTACAAAACCCTAAACCCCAAAGCCACAAAGCCTTTAGTTCCCCAATACCCAACCTGTAAACTTCTTGGGTTCTTATAAGTTAGCAGTAGCCAGAAAGTTTAACCTTTTATTTCCCTGGCTTATTGGGTAAGTTTAGAGCTTAGGGTTTAGGGTTAAGAAGCCCAGGCTCACCAAACCCCAAAACCACAAGACCCTAAACCCTAAACCCTAAACCCTAAACCCTAAACCCTAAACCCTCAAAGCCCAGGCTCACCAGATACAGGTTGAACTGGACATCCCCAGAGCCTTTGAACATCGCGGCCTACCGAAAGCGAGGCGGGTCTTCTTGAATGTTGGGTTTAGGGTTTAGGGTGTAGAGTTTGGGTTTAGGGTTTAGGGTTTAGGGTTTAGGGTTTAGGGTTTAGGCCCTGCTTTGATTTGGGTTTGGGGACTAATATAGGGGCCTTCATAAATACCTATACTAGTTGGTGGGTTCGAGGCCCAACGGTTAGTAGTTAGGGCTTTGGCGATAGAAATTCGACTTTGGGGTTTTGGTTTTTTTGGTGTTAAAAACCTAGAGTTTAGGGCTTCGGGCTAGAGATTTGGAGTTTGGGCTTTAGAGTTTAGGGCATTGGGTGCCAACACGCATGATTAGGGCAGTTCTCTAAACCAGGGTTCCCGTTTAGGTCCCCAAAATAGCACGACACCCTTAGAAAAAGAACCCCCCCCAAAAGGGACCCTACTTTGGAGAACTACCCCGTGTAGCCTTGCTCTCCAACCTGTGGCTACATGGGTAGTTCTCTAAGTAGGGCCCCTTTTGGGGATCTCTTTTTCCAAGGGTGCCGTGCTATATTGGGGACCTAAAAAGGGACCCGACTTTAGAGAACTACCCAGTCGCGTTCCAGACTTGCGGCTGATCCTTTCCCCCTGACCCTCAAGGGACTCATATTTTTGAAGGCTTTCTGGGGCCCAAAGACCTTATTATATTTGGCCTTTAGGCCCAAAGACCCTATTATATTTGGCCTTTGGACTTTGGGCCCAAAGACCCTATTACATAAGGCTTTTGGGCTATTTTGATGCTTTTGGGCCCAAAGATCATATTAAAGAAGGCTTTTGGGCTATGTTGATGCTAAGGGTTTTTGTTGCCTGGAAGAGAGAAGGCGACGAGTACCGACCGCACTGCGATGGCCGCTGTGGGGTGCCCAAGGATGGGATCGCACGGCTGATGCTTTAGATCCTGCATTAGCCATAATAAGGAATATACCATAGTTCCCATAGTTTACGGTTTAGGATCCTGCATTAGCCATGATAAGGAATATACCATAGTTCCCATAGTTTACGGTTTAGGATCCTTCATTAGCCATGATAAGGAATATACCATAGTTCCCATAGTTTAGGGTTTAGGGTTTAGGATCCTGCACTAGCCATAATAAGGAATATACCATCATTCCCATAGTTTAGGGTCCTTAAGGTAATGCAGGGTCTATATCATCAACAGTATGTTGGGCACGTGGACTACATGCGGGGCCCTTGGAGCTTAAACCCTAAACCCCAAATTGACTGAATAAGAGGCGGTGTAAACACAGTTCCTCCCTGGGGCTTACAAGATAAAGTGGCTTCGGCTTTAGCCTTAGCCATCCGAAATTCACAAGGTCATCAGGACTTTGGCCAAGTCCTTCGGATGAAGAGTGGGTGAGCAAAGCACGACGTCAGGGTTTAGTCGGGGTTTACACGGCTGGTGGCGAGGCCATGCTTCACCCGAACATCCTATCAGGATTTTAGCGCCGGAGATCGTCACTTCAACCTCTCCGTGCTAGTGTGTACATCATTGCTTCTGATAGTGCTTCTCGCTTCCCTGTAGCCCTCAGGGCCCATGTTGGTGTTTTTTGCATGAAGCATGGTAACCACACAACTTAAACCCAACAATCACAATCATCCAGCAACCGTAGACCGGTTGAATTTACACCTGAGCGAGCAACTCGAAATCACTAGATCTCAACCCCAAATCCTACTCCCCAAGCCATTCAACCTGCAACCCACAACCCAAACCCCATCGAGGAACTCGAAACCCTGAACTTCTGAGTTCACTTCGAGGTTCTGCTACCCGGTGTGTTGCCGAGGCGGCGGCGACCGCCATCGTCCTGGTGAGCGTGTGGCTGCTGCCTCATTTGCCAGGAGCTAGAAGAAGCATCCAAACATCAACCTTGGGGCGGCCATCCCCTACCCATAGGCCCCATAGTAGTTCCTTTTTGGGATTACCTTATAGGATTCTAAATATGAACCCCAAACAGGAACTACTATGGGGCCTATGGGTAGTTGTTCTGGCTTACTTGAAGAGGGGATTGCGGCGCATCCCAACCTTCCGGTTCTTGCGTAGGGGATGCAGTCCTCCTTTTAAGAAACCTCACCCCCGCAGTCCGCGAGTACTTCACGCTCGTCGGTTTAGGGTGAGGGATTTAGGGTGTAGGAGTTCAGGGCTTTAGAGGTTTAGGGTTTAAGTTTTAGGTTAGGGTTTTAAGGCTTGACAAACATAAATGGCACCAAACCCTAGATCCACTCAGCTGCAGCCACCTATGCTTCAAGTGTAACGTGTGAAGCTTCGATAGCGTACTGTTCGGGTCTGAATAATTAGTTAAGACTATTTTCTCTGCCGCGGTGAATGTGTTCGCAGATTACACCGATGCGGAGTTCAAGGCCCATCAACTTCCCATGCCATGATGCCAGCTAGGTGGGAGGCAACAAAATCCCATGACGCTCGTCAAGCTTGTAAGCTGGAGACATCGAATGGCAGAAAATCTTGAGCATGTGCTGATCGGGTGCTTCGGTACTGAACCCTCTGAAGGGCCGCAGCTCGAAGCGAAGCAAACATTTGCTCAACTCTGTAACGCCTAAACCCTAAACTAAACCCCTGAACCCTAAACCTCCCTTCCTTAGGTTCCCTGATACCCGTTGGATAGAAGCTCGAATTGTTCAGGCCTTTAGACTTCACCCTGAACCCTGAACTTTCCCAAACTTTGAAGCCCTCGTAGCTGCAAAGTGCCTGCGCTTCAACACCCTTCAAACCCTAGACCCTACCATATTCTGTCAGATATCATTTTATATTATTTGTATTATATTATATTTTAGAGTTATAGATTGTAATATAAACATATATCACGTTATATTACACTACATTATACTATACTACATTATATTTTAGCCGAAGAGGTTTTGCCTTTGCCTTACTTACCGGAAGTTGTGATCCGAAGCCGTACTTAGTAGTACGTAGACGAGGTCGCCTTTCCCCTTTTTAGGAGTTAAGCTGTGGTTCCTTCAGGGCACTGGAGAAGTAAGCCTAATACTCATGCCCTCAAGCCCTTAACCCTAAGGCCTAAAACCCTAAACCTAAGCCCTAAAGCCCTACACCCTAAACCCCAAGACCCTAAACCTCAAGCCCTTCTTGACACCTGCAGCAATCGAGAAACTGAGGCCACCAGCATCTTGTATTGCCAGGTTCCTGCAGAAGGCTGGGGTTGAGGGTTTTAGGCTTTAGGGNNTAAGGTTGAGGGTTTAGGGTTTTAAGGTTTAGGGGGGTTTAGGGCAAAAGGTAAGAATTCCGTGGTCACGGGGTTGAGGGTGCCGGTTGCCTGAGTGATACGCATTTACGATGCCGATGTGATGATTGTTGTTACGATTATGGTGGTGATGACGTTGGTAAACGACGATGGTCCAAATGATGACGGCAATGCCGCTTATGATGATCGTCATGCCGGGTGTTCATTGGTGACTCCGTGCATGAGCCCTTCCTGCACAGGTGGCCATACCACTTTCACCATGGACACCCTCAAAATCGGCCCTGATCAAGGAGTCAGTGTTTCTGTGCGCCTGCGGAACCAAACCCTGTGTAGCCCTAAACCCAGACTCTCTTGAAGACTTATGAGATGTTGAACAGGAGCCCTGAAAAGAAAAGGACCGCGAAGTTAAACAAAAGCGCTCCATCTAATAGCAATACACGGAAAGTGCGACCCCACTGCATTCTACCGCCCCAAAAAACTCTAAATCCCCAAAAAACTATGCGGGGACCCTAAACCCTAAACCCCAAAGCCCTAAACCCTAAACCCCCAAAGCCCTAAACCTTTAACCCCCAAAGCCCTAAACTTTAAACCCCCATTGTAGGGCTTACAGAAACTAGGGCCTGGGATTTGGGGTTCGAGCTTTAGGGCCTCAAGCGGCCTGGATCATCAGAAACTGGCCGTGAGGTCAGAGACGTTGAAGGTCTGAGAACCTGCATTTAGGGTTTTGGTTTAGGGTTTAGGGTTTAGGGGTGGGTAGTTCTCTAAATGAGGGTCCCTTTTTGGGTCCCCAATATAGTGAAAAGGACCCTAAAACGGACCATAATTCAGCGAACTACCCATGTAGAATGCTTCGCCAAGGGCTGCCATGAGTGCCCGACCTAGCAAGAGGCACCGGTTGTACTTGTTCGAAACTCCTATTCAAACCCTAAACCCTAAACCATTCCCTTTACATCAGGCATCTGCCTCGGCACTCTGCAGAAACCTCCCAGATGAACCGAGGACCGATAGGCTTCGGGCCCGTGTATTTGGGCCGAAGCCCTAAACCCCTTTAGGAACTTTAGGGTTTAGGGTTTAGGGTTTAGGGTTTAGGGTTTAGGGTTCCTTAAGCGCGACAGCATGTCCAATCTCACTGAAGATCAAGCTGCGGCGCTCTACGGGTTTCTGTGGTCTTCGCGGGCCAGAGAGCAGGTTTCGGATACAACTGCCAAGTAAGAGCAGAAGCCAAGGGAGGGTTTAGAGTTCAGTTCAGGGGTTCTATGGATGAGGGTTTGCTCCGATGGATCAGCGACGAGACGCCTTCTCATGCAACTGGCTGCTCAAAGCCCCCCGCGCCTTTTTGGGATTCAGCCCGGGCATCTCACCCGCCAATCCAGAGGAGACATGCTGGTTTTTGGCTACCTGATGGGCCAGACTATGGCGAGACAAGAGGCCTCCAGAAAGTGGCAGTTCAGCCTGCTGTTCTTGTTTAATTCGGGCCGCAAACCTAAAGCCTTGCACTTTACCGAAGCTGCTTCAGATCAGAAGAAAGAGGCAGGGAGAGAGTGTGAGTGAGATCGCCAGATGCTGAAATCAGCCACTTCCCAACTTCTTGGGTTCTTTGGTTCCGATCTTTTGATGAACAGTCTCATGAATTTTTAGGTTTGGGGGCTTGGGGGGAGCTTAAAGAGTTGGCAGTCTGAAGAAACCTGCCAGCCCGCCCAGCCATGCCGAGCAACGGAGCAAGTGGTTCATGTAGGGACCTTAATACTTACCTATACTATTTTGGGGGTTCCTTATTATAACGATAGTATAGTATACCCCAAAACCCTATTCTAATTATTACGGCCTCTATATCAAGGAAATATAGCGGTCTTGAGTATAAGAGCGGCCTTGAGTATTAGAGCCTGGGCTTTTGTGGTATGCAGTATATTCATGCCAGCCGAAGGAATAATATTTCTTCCTCTTCTGGCACCCTTTAAGATGCCGCCGCAACTGTACTCGCAAACCGGTTTAGGGTTTAGGGTTCCTACATAATTACTATAACAGTTAAGGCCCCTGCTTAACCCCACATAAGCTGTAGCAAACCCCACAGAGAAATCCTGCAAACACTTTGTAACAGCTAAGGCCCTTAAAGCACTACAGGGGCCTTGCTATTTACCTGTACTAGCTTGGGGTTCCTTATCATAATAGTTATAACATGATATCCCCCAAAACCCAAAACCCTAAATGCTAAACCCAATTCTAATTATTAAGGCCCTTATAGTACGTCTCCTCGCCAGGCTGAGCACAGTTCTTGTCCGGTACTGGCAGGAGGAAAGTGGATTGCCACGCAGTGGTACGCAGAGGAGACCTTGCTCATTTCGGATGTGGGGTTCTGGTCTAGGGCTCCAAGAAGTGAGGGTTGGGGATTTAGGGTCTAGGGCTGAAAGGAGTGAGGGGTGGGGATTTGGGGTTGGGGGAGGTTTGGACTCTGGGGGCTTAGGGCCCCAAGGCTAAGGGTTTAGGGAGACCTTACCTTCACCGGTCACCACTGCCCAAACACGCACTCGAAAATGGTGACGGTCTTGACAGACTACGACGGTTCCGATTCTTTTTCGTGCTGGCATGATGAGCACGACTAGCATCACTGTGAGTATCACTATTACGAGTAACTACAAGTTCTACGCGTGTTATAAGTACAACGGGTACTGCTACTGCTGCTGCTCCTACCACTTGCTACCACTGTCGCGCCAGTTGCATCTGTTGCTACTTCCACCGCTGCCGCTACCGCTCGCATTACCGCTACCCCTAACAACACTACTACCCCTACCACCACTACCACTACCACTACCACTACCACTACCACTACCACCACTACCACTACCACCACCACTACCACCACTACCACTACTACTACTACTACTACTACTACTACTACCACTACTACTACCACTACTACTACCACTACTACTACCACTACCACTACCACTACCACTATCACTTGTTCTTCTTCTGCTTC